ATATATTATATTATTATATATATATATATATATATATGAATACTTAAAGGAAAGTGTGCGGAAGGACAACTTACCCAGATCAAATTCGTAGAGATCGTTGAAGTAGATACATCCACTCGTGCCACCAAACAAGTACAATTTGTTCTGTCGGCGCACCTGTTGTATTGTGTAGAGACAGTCCGGTGCAATAAAAAACGTGTACACACACAACATTTGTTGTTGCCTTGAATAAAATGTGTACATACAACATCTACTGATCCCTTAGCAATATGTGTGGTACCAATGATAAGCCGTCACAAGTCCAACCGCTCTCAGCCCAATAGCCTACGATGTAATACATTTAATTACCCACGCCGAAGATTGATAGGCACAACCAAACGCGTTCAATTACTTGGCCCTAAATCCTCCCACACTACCAAACCAGCATTTGATGTTTGAGTAAAGACAAATTATCACACAGCAGCCCTTTTCTTGCCTTGACGGCATCAATCACACGAGCCACACGGCGTTCCCATGACAACCTCTCACCCCCATAGACACGGTGCCCTCTCTAGCCTCCACTTGGGACAGGGTAGTAGGCACTATTTTCACTAGCATCCCCACACAACCGTGACATACCCTAAAGCCCTAAAACCTTAAAACCCTAAAACACACCAGGCTGTGGCCGTATCGAGGACTGGGGATATCGCCAGACGACGCAATCTGTTCCCAATGCAGCCGCTTGAGATCACAGATGTAGAAGTCATTGCGATTGGAATGCCCGAACGGCACGTTGCTGCCACCGAATATCAGCAGATGCTCACCGTCAATGACCCCTACGCAGAGGAGGGATAGGCGATTGAGTACACAGCAATGGGGAATGCATGCAGAGAGATGTGTGTACATACAGTCACAAGTCAAGATAGCTTCATAGTAACACTTACTGAGTACGAATGTAGATACATACAGTCATAAGCTAAGATAGCTTCATAATTACACTTACCGAGTACGAATGTGGACACATACAGTCACAAGTTAAGACAGTACCTTGGTGAGACACGCGTTCACTCGGCGGAGTGCCGGTGCACTTCAGTTTACGCCACGTGCGGCTGGGTATGTGGTACGCAAATAGATCATTGTAGCACCGCTGGTCATGGTAGCCGCCGAAAACGTACAAAAACGTACCCGAGAGATCGCACACGGCTATATGACCGCTCCTGGGCGACGGGATAAGGCCCCTGCACTCCAGTGGACTCAGCCTGGGCTGGCTGGTTACCAGTTCAATGGGCGAGGCGTACAGGTGTTTGGGTACGTACGGCTGTGCTGTGGTGGTCTGTAGTCGTGTAGGCGCAGAAGACGAGCATGGGGGTGGCGACGCCGGTCTCGAGCATATGGACATGGATGAAGACTTGAACACGATGGACTTCCTGCAGTATGCATGGTTTAGAAAACCCGGGGTGTCAGAAAACCCTAGAACCCCTAGAACGCTAAAACCCATGGGTTGTGTGTGAAAGCTGGGATGAATAGAAGGGAGCGTGCACGTGTGGGGTGTGTGTATAGAATGTGTGATAAAGGGAAGGCGCCAGTGAACTTGGGTATGATGGAGTTGAGCGTGGACAGTTAGACGGCATTTGATCTCTAATTGTGCGAAGTATCTGTGGAAGTAGTATATAGTATGAGTACGGGATATAAGTAGTACAAGCGCACGAATAGCAAGACAAGGTCACAAGCACAGTGCAGTACCTTTACAACGTATACGAAAGCACAAATGAACGTCTGAATAAATGCACAAATGGACATTTAAATGTTTGCACAAATGGACATCTGATAAAAGTCTACATGTGTCCCAATACAAGTGCTAGCACCATCCATGAACTCTATAGTGCGTTATATAGTGTTGATTCCAGCCAGCTATTGAAGATAAAAATATACCTTCCGATCATCTAACATGAACGTAAGCACTAGATATCGTTTATGTA